GTGCAGGTGAGCAGCTGGCACCGTTTCAACTCCCTCTGCTGCGCAGGGACGTGGCCCTGCTTGAGCTGCGCCTGCTGTGCCTGACCCAGGAGCTCCTGGAACAGTCCCTGATGGATCCTTAGGACAGGCAAGTCCACTCATGTCCCCTGAGATGGGCAGGGTGATGGAAGCAGGTGGGAGACTACCGCGCAGCCCTCTTATTCCTTGTTATCGCCCCTACCTCCCTGCTAGTGTGCTGAGGCTGCTGCAGCCGGGGCCAGGCAGCTCGGCGAGGCGAGCGCTGGCACTAGCAGCCTTGTCTGCTTCCTTGCCCAGCCTGCTCACTGCAGGAGCCACGCAGGCAGAGTCAGAGGAGGAACAGCCTTTATTAAAGCAAAATAACCTACAAAAATATAGATAGAGCCTGTGCCCCAGGCCTGACCTGGCAAAGGAGGAACAAGGCTCCTGCCCAGGGCAAGGACTAGCTCAGCCACACAGAGCCTTTGGCCGCAGGCGTCTTCTAGGCCCAACTCTTTAGACCAGGCCTGTCCCAGGCCCCAGATTTTGCTCTCATCCTCCTCTGTGTGAGCCCTTGCTCCCATGGGAAGAGGATCCCTACCAGCACAGTGAGCAGCTGCCCCAGTCCAGTCCTGGGCCAGGGCAGGTAGTGGAGCGGAGGCTGTCTCCCTGCCAAGGGTCTCCAGGGGCAGTGCTGCCACTCGCAGAGCCACTTCTGCTGAGGAACGCAGTGTGTGTGTGTGCAGCAGGTATGACTACTCCGCCCACAGCTGGGCAGCGCTGGGGGGTGCTAAACGTGGGCATAGCAGAGAGAAACCCTGCCGTTGTATGCGGAGGCAGCTGTGAGACCCTCCCGTCCCACGGCGGGGCACTCACTGCTCCTGTGTGCCCCAGGAAATATAGTCGGGTCGCGTGGCTGCGTGGTACTCATCAATTAGCTGCTGCACGATCTCCCGGGAGTTGTCCAGTTCATCAAAGTTGTCCTTGAAGATGTCTTCCTTGCGGAACTGCTCCAGGAAGGCCTCCCGCTTGCGTAGCTTGTCATACTGCCGGCACGTCCGCTCAAACAGCTGGAGAGCAATACAGCACAGTCAGATGGGCCAGAGCTCCCTAGAGATCCCATGCGCAAAGGAGAGGGGGATGTGGCCTTCGATCCTGCTAGGCTGCTGCTGGGGAGGAAGGAAGGCCAGCAGTTCCAGGCCTGCACCCAGCCAGTGCTCAGGATCAGTTTGTGCTTCTGAGGCTGCTTCTAGCCAAGGAAGAAAGGGGTCCTGCTGCAGCCTGTCCCTGTGGCCTGGGACCAGGATTCCAGCCCAGAGAGTACAGCCAGACTCACTGGACCCCAGTCCAGACCTGTGCCCTGATGTGTGCCAGCAGAGAAGCAGCCACCCTCCCTCCCCTCATCGGCAGGCCCTACTGCAGCTGCACAAAAGGCCAAGAGAAGATGCATTCGCAACTGCCTGTGGTTTAGAGGGAAGACACTCACCGAAGAGATGTTGGTGTGGTTTGCCATCATGAGGCCGCTGACACGGTGTGCAGATGGCAGGTAGGGGGACTTCCGGGACAAAGCCACCTGGATGCTGGCAGGGCCCCAGGGAATGAAGTTTGCCAGCTTCCTCTCTCGGATTCGCTGCAGACTCTTGTGAACCTGGTGGGACGAGAGCAGTAAAAGGTATCAGGGCGATGGGCAGAGCAGCCCAGCAGGCCTGTTCCTGCCCACCTGACTTAGGAGTTGCTCCTTACAGGACGTATGGTCTCAGATAGGTGGATTTCAGCAAATGGCAGCCTTTTCACAGGACCAGGGCCCACGCTGGAGCAACCTGGAGCCAGTTCTCAGACACCTCAGTCTCTCTCCAGGATCCCTGCACAGCAGGATGGTGACCCTGCCCTACTCGGGCAGGCCATGCCATGTCCAAGGGCACCCACACAAGGCTGTGATACGCTATCCCTGCAGGAGCTCACCTGTGTGGGGTCCACCTCCCCCTGGATGATATTGAGGATGGCGATGTAGCAGTGGTTGGTCTGCCTGTCTCGCCCTGTGGACACCATCACATTTTTAGGCTGCAGCAGCCTTCTCATCACGTCCAGGACTGTGGTTTTCCTCACGCTGGCCACCTGCAAATGCCAGCCACAGGGTCAGAGGGAAGGAGCATGCTGCTCCCTTGCCCTCCCGCCGCCCTGCACACGCACACAGGAGCAGAGGACAGCTTGAAAGTCGAAGTCCTCAACCCTGGGGATGGAGCCATGTACATGCAGGACAGAGAAATCGCAAAGTCACACAACAGGCACAGCCAGGCTGAGAACCAGAGCATTAGCGTAGCCTCCTACACAGGGGAGCTGAGCTGCCTCTCCCGCAGCAGAGCAGGGGCTTAGGGTCAAGCTCAATAGAGATTACAGTAAGAGGGGAAGTGTTTCATGTTGTTGCTGTCCACATTCTTTCCTGTTCTGCCACCAAGCCAAGGGCAGGGCCAGGAGGACAGGAGAGGGAATTGTTCCCAGCTGCACCTCACCCCTCTGCCATCTCCCTGCCACACTGCCCTGAGCCCCTGTGGGGCAGAGTGGCCACGGCCCTCCCAAAGTGCTGTCACAAACTTTGCCACAGTCCGGGCCACAACTGGGGGCAGCACCCAAAGGAGAGTGTCAGTAGCAAGGACAGTTTGTTGGGGTGTGTGACAGCCCGGTTTCAGGCAATGTGGGAGCTGCTGGCTGAACCCCTGCCTCGCACACCTCGCTGAGAGGACAGATCACACACTCGATACCCTTTTCAGAGCCAGCAGTTTTTCAGCTTTGCTTCTCTGAGTAACATCCTGAGGAAATGCACAGAAGAGGAGAACAGCAGCTGTTAGCTCCGAGCAGAACTGAGACGTGGCCAACACAGGTGAGTGTCTCTCAAAATGAAACTGCTCATCCGCCCACTACAGCTTGGGGGGGCCTGGGCTGTGGCTGGTAGGACATTCAATGGGGCCAAGCTAAACATGAGCGGTAGCAATCGATTTAGCTCAGGGGTAACAAACCCCTCCCAGAGCGCAAGTCGACCCCTGAGATGGTGCTGACATCTGGAGTCCTTGTTCAGTGCTGGTGTGACAAGGATCAACAGTGTTCTGACCCAAATGGCCTGGCTTGGTGGTCCACTGAGGTAACGGGACTGGCAGGGCTGCTTCGGTGGGCTTGCTGTGATTGTTTTTGAGGGTGGCTGTTGCCAGGTCATGCATCATCTGCCCGGTCAAAGACATCCTGATGCATGTACTAGGTAGCCCAGCACAAGCATGGTTGCCTGCTCAGGCCTGAGCCATATCACACGTGTGCTGTCACATGAACAGGCTGCACGTGAGTCCGGGATTATAAGCATGCAGTTATTGCTCACACCAAGACTATGGGGCTGGATGGGATGTTACAAGGGTGAGTGTGGCAGCTCCTACTGCCCTGGGGGAACGGGAGGAGTCCCTGGCGGGTGGCCTTACCGACTGGTCTGTGGTGAGGGGTGTATAGCCCGTCATGAGGAAGTGCAGGCGGGGGGTGGGGATCAGCGAGGCAATCAGCCCAATGAGGTCGTTGTTCATGTAGCCGGGATACCTGAGCGTGGTGGTGCTGGCCGACATGATGGTTGAAACCTGGGGAGAGAGAGCTGGGGTCAGCGTTCAGGTTGCTGCATGGCCATGGCGCGAATTCAGAATCCAGCTTTATGCAGCTAAGCCCAGAGGAAGCTGGAGCACCCACGGAGGCCACCTCACCAAAAGCACAGGGAGGAGATTCCTAGGAAGGGCAGAGGACCCTTGCTTATGGCTCCAGGCTGCCCACCGTCAGGTCCAGCCCACGGAGCAGTTTCCAATTGAACTGGAAGACACCAGCGAAGCCGCATACTGGCTTCTCCAAAGGGAAAAGCTTCCTCACCAATTGGTTGATCTGGGAGAATGATGGGTTTTGAATGTGCAGCCTGTCCGTCGCGATCCGATTCAAGGCCGTGTTGTCTAGAACCACCTACAAAAGAAAACCACCTCCATGAAGAGTCTTGAGAATCACCTGGAGGAAATGCAGCCCTAGCCAAGTGTCTGAGGGAACCAGATCACGCAACCTGGCCCAGGACAGGCCCTGAGCGCCACAGCCCGGTGGAGCCCTCTGCAGCAGGTGGCAGACGCTTGAAACCACAAGCTGACTCATTCCTGGAGCGTAACCGATACTGTCAATGGAAGCTCTTCCCTCCTGTCTTGGCTGCGCTCCCCAGAGCTCTCCCAGGAGAGCGCTGCCTCTGGGCCAGCACCTCGCAGCGACCTTTACCCTCAACAACCCTGGCACAGCTGCTCTTGCCCTGTCAAATGCAGAGATAAGCTGGGAGGGACGAGCAAGCGTCTTGGTTAGGACCTGACAGAAGGCCAAGGTGTAGGCTGAAGATGTTCTGTGGCTGGGGCTTGTGGGTGCTGAAAGTGATAAGCGGATTCACGGTCAAGCGGAAGGCAGCAGCACAGCTATGCAGAAGCAGCACAGCTAGCACCAGCCCCTCACTGCCATGGGAAGAATATGCTGTAGCCACAAAGCAGAAATGCCAAAAAGGACAGCTCAACCAAGGGTTAGCGCAGAGCCCTTGTCCCTGGAACCACCACATCTGCTCAGACCTTCTGGAGGAAAAAAGGAACTGTGCGCTCACTGCTGTGCCTGGGGCTGCCAGGCTGCAGCTTCTCGCCGCAGCACTCGTCCCACGCACCTATGGCACCTGCCCCAGCAAAGGCTGCGTTTTTGAGCTGCTGGGAACAGGTCTGCCATACAGGAATTGGCTGCCCCACGGGCCTGACATGCAGCAGGACTCTTACCACGCAGTCCGCGTTCTGAGTCAGCCTCTTGAGTGTCAGCAGAGAGTTGTACGGCTGCACTACAACATCGCTCATCTCATCCTGGTTTGGGAAAACTGAGTAGGTCTCCACCAGCTTCTTGGGATACCTGGTGAGAAAGCCCAGCCGTCTCAGGGGTTAACATCACCAACACAGGACTCTCTCCTCCCACAAGCTCCCTTTCCAGTCTCTAGGGCTCAGGACAGCAGTGAGTCACTGGTGCTGCATGCCAGACTCAGCTCTCAGGGAGGGAGAGGATTTGTCCCAGCAGTGCCTACCCTAGCAGCACAGGAGCAGGCTGCCAGACGGAGCTACAGCCAAGGCTGAGCCATCCGCGGGCAGATTAAGCAGCTGCTTACAAGCCTTTTCAAGAGGCTGCAAGCTGCAACAGGCAGGGATGGCAGCTCAGAGCCCACAGCTAGAGCCTCCCACTCTCCCCAGAGCAGTTAGGGTGTCAGGAGGCAACTGCCTGATAAGAACGGCTGAAGAAAGACAAAATTTGGACAGCATGAGTCCAGATTCAGAGCCTCCGAAGTCCTCAGGCATATCAGGAGCCATCCCTTTCCAGGCAGCTTGCCAGGGATTGCACAAGACAGTGTTTGGGTGGGGGCAGCGGCCCAGGCTCTGAGTCAGCGCTCTCAAGCTCTGTGCTTTGGCAGGGTGCCCAGTCTGGGCCAGACTCTGCCAGGAGGGAAGGGGATAAAGCTGAATGCTCACCTGTCATTCAGCTTCTCAAGGAGATAGGAGCCCAGCCCGGAGCCTGTACCACCAGCAATGGAGTGGCAAAGCACAAATCCCTGGAAAGAAGCAGAACATAGGCAGCTCAAGGTCCAGCTCAACCCAAAGAGCAGACAGAGCAGAGACAGGCTGAGCCACCACCACCAGCAGAGACTTGCCAACACAGGTGAGAACTACCCCCTGTGACAAGAGCTGCTGAGAGCAAAGAGATGAAGCCTTTGAACGGTACGTGGAGGTTAGCCTCGTCTCCTCCAGACTACAGCGGCAGTCACTCACTAATCACACCACTTCTGCCAGCGGGGGTGCAACCTACTTCTTTGTACATGCCAAGAAGAACAACTGCTGCTCAGGAGCCTCCTGGATTCCTCCCACCCTGAAACAGGCTTCAGAGTAGCTTGGATATCATTTTCAGGTCTCAGTCAGTCAATTAAAGTGAAGATATAGGTTCTTAGCCCTTTCCCTGGGCCCTCCATGCTATTCCCCTCCTTCTAGGATCAAGGAGGCCAAACTCCCTCTACCTGACTTCAGCGCAGCTCCCACCCACTGCAGGTCCCACAACCTGCTCTTTGATCTTCTGCCAACCTATTTTAATATCACTTCCCTTGTTGCCATGTGACAGCTTGATACAAACACCAGGGAGCCTTGTTTGGGTTTGTGCAGATGGTAGCCAAGGTACTGCCAGATGCACAAGGCAAAGCAGTCGAAGAACCAGATACCCTTCTCCTCGACATCTCTGAGCTATTGAAGGTATCTCTGGTGCGCCTATCAACCAGCCTGGCCCTGGAATCACCAGTCAGGGCAACTGGACTGAAAATCCCCCGATGGACTTACTTCCAAACTGTCACTCCCATCAGCTTCTCTGTCTATTATGTCAAAAATATCTTCATGGATTTTTTCTCCCTGCAAGATAAAACCAAAACAGGACTTGTTCCTTCCCTGCACAGAAGGGTAAAGAGCCCCTCAAACCTGGAGTGAAGACAAGTCAGATCAGCAACGGGACCCTGCATTAAGGGTGCCACAAAGTGTCAGTCATAAGTCTGTTTGAATAATATGGTATTCTTCAGAGAGCATGTACTGAGCCCGGCATGAGAAAGGCCACAATAAATCCTCATGCCTAAGGAACTGACAAGTGCTTGGGCAGAAGAGCACCAGAGCCTTTTACCTGTGAGAAGCCACTGGCCCAGTTGTTCCCAGCTCCCCCTCCATGCTCAGACAAGTAGATGTTTTCTGGGTTGTAGAGGTTGGCATAAGGGGAGTTCAGGATGGAGTGGATAACTCGGGGCTCCAGGTCCAGAAGTACAGCTCGCGGGATATAGTGCTCATCATCTGCCTTTAACAAGGAACAGTAAGATCATGATGCAGGAGCAACTCAGTGCAGCCCTTTACTGCAAGAGAAACTGCAACTGAGTGCGCCACCCCCTGGCCACAGCAGAGCACAACACAGTGTCATCTCCGACAGAGAAGACGAGGTAGAGAAACTTGTTGTACTGCAGCAGTCTTCACGAGCCCCAGAGCCTATCTGGAATGTTGGGCGTGCAGAGTGGCGAGGTGGCTCTTCCATAAAGGGCTTACAGTCTCAGCGGTTATGTAACGTGGAAACTATAAACGTCTTTCTCAGGCACTACAGTCCTACCTTCAGCAGCCTCCGCAACACATCCATTTCCAGAAACCGGAGCACAGACAAGAGCCCTGACAGACGCTGCCTAGCAGGAGAGCTCAGCTGAGCCTGCCACTCACATAACCGGACCCAGGGTCAGAGTCAGCCCACGGGG